CCTCCGGCGGCTCCACCTCCGCGTCCGCCTCCTCCTCCTCCTCTCATTCCCCTCCCTCTACCTCTTCCTCTCGAGCTCGAGCTCGAGCTCGAGCTCAAGCTCTTACCTTTTCCATTTCCTCGCTGCCCTCTCCCTCTCCTCGGCCCTCCTCCTCGTCCTTGCCCTCTCGCTCAATGTCGTCTCGTGCCGCTCCCTCCGCCTCCTCCTCTCTCGCTCCTCCACATTCCTCCTCCCTCGTTACCACCGCGGGGCCGGCAAAAAGCCTGTGTTTTGGTCCATTGGATCAGCGGAGAAGCCGAAATCGGATAAGAGACCGAGTTCAGGCTCTTGGGTGCAAGTTTATAACAATGGGGATGTGTATGAGGGGGAGTTTCATAAAGGGAAGTGCTCGGGGAGCGGGGTGTACTATTACTATATGAGCGGGAGGTATGAAGGAGACTGGGTTGATGAGAAGTATGATGGGTATGGGGTTGAGACTTGGGCGAGGGGGAGTCGGTATCGAGGCCAGTATAGGAGGGGGTTGAGACATGGGTACGGGATTTACCGGTTTTATACAGGGGATGTGTATGCCGGTGGGTGGAGTAACGGGCAGAGCCATGGGTGTGGTGTGCATACATGCGAGGATGGGAGCCGGTATGTTGGAGAGTTCAAATGGGGAGTCAAGCATGGGCTTGGGCATTACCATTTCAGGTTAAAGATTGAAATCTTTGAGTTATTGTTTCAAAATTGGTCTAGTTATTATATTTAGTTTGTGCTACTTCAAGTTGCAATTTGGAAACTGATGTAGAGTTTGGGACACTTGGACAAAAAATTTGCCTCAAAACTGTCAAAAAAGTAGAAATGTACGTTTGGGAGGTTGGTCAACCTGATTCAGAGTTTCTTCAAGGGATTTTGAATGCTCAGGATACACAACTTTTTTTTGTCCGAAAATCCTTCAATTATGTGTTTACAGTTAGAGCCATAGTAATAGCTATATCTGTACTAGGGTCAAAGTGAACTAATGGGACAGTGCATACTATGAAGGTTTCATTTTAGATATTCATTGACAAAGACATGCAAGTATTTGGAATTGACCCTTTCCCCCCAACTTTTTCTTTAAATCAAACATGTACTTGTATCTTCAATGGTGAAAGAAAAGTTAAACGTGTACTGGACTTGTAATTCTTTGTTCCTTATTAAAGGGGCAGGTTGTGGTTCCTACTTCCTAGATAAGTCGGAAGTCTGGTTCTCTACATTCCTAGAAGGAAGGACAGGGTAACTTTCATGCCCTTTGGTAGTTTCTCAACCTCAGATGGAATTTTTATTTTGTTGGTGTATTTGACGTTGATATGTGTGATAGGTTGTTTTTTGAACTAATTATGTAAAAGAAACCTTATAACAACTGTACTTGATATGCATCATCTCTAATCTAAGTTGAAGTTAGAAACCTGTAAGGTTATGTGATCCTAGTTTGTTGCTATAGAGTAATAATCTTCAGAAGTTTCCAAACTATTTTCTATCAATTAAAGTGCAATAGCCGCACAGAGGATATGGTGCTGTACCAAGCAGTCCTTTGAAATTACGAAATGACTTAAGAGGGGCGCTTAATTACTCACTGCTCTTCAGACTGAGTCACTTTATTTCTTCTTTTTACAAGTATATACTCAAATTTTTGGAGGTGACAGTGAAAAATTGATAGATAAATCACCCTTACTATCAAATTTTGATAAAGAACTCCCTCCCCCACCTATGAATGATAATTGACAAGTATCTATTTTTTTATTCCAAATTAACGCCGAGATTTATTATTGTATGTTCTTGTGAACCATAATTAATCAAAAATGCTTTCTAAATTATAGAAGCAATATGCATGTTAAATCATGGATCTGTATAAACATAATAAAACTTGCTTCAGTTTTTAAAAAATCTTCTGATGGATAAACCCTTCTAATATCAAGAACAAAATGATTAACTAACTGAAAATTGGAGTAAATGATTGGTAATGTGTAAACAATGTAAAGCAAATAATTGACAAGTATAGACAAGTAACTACATGAAATTACAAGTAAAAGGAAAAACAAAAAAGAAAAATCTAGGTTAATTCATAGAATGGAAAATCAACCTAAGAAAAGTAAAAAATAATAATAAAGAACTGAAAAGAGAACTGTATGTTCAGCCCCATAATGTTTCTTGTTGATGACGTAGTGGTGTTTGCTTGGTGTTTATGGTGGATCTGTGAACTTGTAAAGTGATGAGCTGAGAGAAGGGGCATGCATTTGATCTTATGTTTAGGGTTTATAAATTAGATGGTATAGGTTGATGTATTCATCCGACCATAGCTAATATGGTGTATGCATACTACATACATATACATATACGTACACGTATATACATACGTATACATGTACATGTTCATGTATCTGTGTGTGGGTATAAGTAGCTTGGTTAGCCCACCTGGAAACAATGTGATATGCTATCATTTTGAACTACCCTCTCCGTTAACTTTGATCTTCATGTCTTAAGCGTCTCCAAACAAAAACTAAGCATACTAAGTGCTAATAACCAATGCATCAAGTGCCTGTAAAATAACAGTTTTACAATAATACAACGAAAGAGACGTGAGATGTGGATTAGAAAATTTGAAACTGCAAGATTTTTCATCAATGGATGTTCTGGGATATATAGATCACAATGAACGAAAATCATCGATTAGAAGAGTCAAAGTCGTGCATCAAAAATTCCTTTTTGATTTTATTGTCAGAAAACTGTTAATCTTTGTGCCATTGAATGCATGGATGATATATGCTCAATAGAGCTGATTTTTGTTTCATAGACCTTTTAAGATATGTAGATCAAGTTGAATGGAGTGGATCATCAAATTTTATTGTGTAACATGCATTTTAGTAAGTGGGCATAATTACATTGGTTATGTTGTAGGCATATTGAAGCTTGTATATATAATGGGTATGGAATGTCAAGTTATTTTGCTAAAATTAAGCAAGCGACTATTGGTTAGGGTCAACGACCTAGCCACATTAGAGCGGTGGACCTCAAAAGTCTCTTGGTAGCTTATTTTACCAAGTGAGGTGGCAACTCATATCCAATATCCTCAGATTAAACAGGGATTGTTATGTTTGTCTACTATCTTGGCTGGAGTGTTGTTGACGTGACACACATCCAAAGCATTAGATATTATTTGGGTATGTTGATGATGTAGGTTGTAGGAGTATGGATGTGTGTTATATCAACGACACTTTAGCCAAGGCCGTGGATGGACATATTGGCCTCGTTTACTCACACACATATAGTATAATATAGTAGTATAATAGACTAAAATTTGAGCATAAATTATTGAATTAGCCTTTTGCTTAATTGGATTTAGGGAGTGGATATGCTTTTTGGTGCCCTTGGTAGACACTTTTTAAAGTGGCGGTCGAGGTACAAGGGTCTTCCTTTTCTTGCATAAAAAATAAACTATATCCATAGTGGCTGAGTACTCTACTCGATATGGGATAGGCAATCAGACATTGATTCTCACAAGTATGCAAAAAAAAAAAAGTAGATAATCCTTTTCCCCTGTCCTGGTAATTGAGGTATGCATGTTATTTTAAGAACTTTGTCTGTGTACTTATCTGAAAACTTCAAACGAAGAGAATGACACGATGCAAAAGGATTAAACTACTGAGGATAAATATTGTCTACCTATGGATCGAAGATAGGTCCAGAAAATGACGGTTCTGATGTGAATGACACGATGCAAAAGGATTAAACTACTGAGGATAAATACTGTCTACCTATGGATCGAAGATAGGTCCAGAAAATGACGGTTCTGATGATAAACCAAAGGCCTAGGTTCAATCTTGTTCTTGGTTTTTATTTTATTTGAATTTTGATACATAATAGCCAAAATGCTTGATATGATTCTTATGATATTCAAAAAGTCTCTCCTCAAGTAATTCTTAAGGTATGCATTTCTGTTTTTGTAAGTGCATCCACTTGATTGTATACTGCAAAACAAAGCAGATGCATCGTGTATTTTAGCCTAGGTGTTCTGTATTCTTGTCGTCAACTGTGACCATCTGAACATTTCACACTGGTTATCAATTAGATCAAAATCTAAATTTTACTTGGTTTTTTGGTATGCAATATTATGACTTTTGTCATACATCGGTGCCATATGCTAATGTTGTGATTAGGTAAATAATCGACAACATCCGGCAAGCCTGAATGTTATGATTTGTGATACACAACCGTCCACTTTCAAGATATGTGTTGTTGCCAACTTTTGAACCATGGTGTTTTCTCCATTTCCATGATGTTTTTATCAAAATAAAAACACAATGTGTTTGGGAACCATGGTGTTTTTATGATAAAAACACCCAAAAACAATAAACACCACACTTATTTGAAAACACCTTTTAGGTCTTGAGTTTTAAATGGTGTTTTGAGTTTGGGTAGGATATTAATATAATAGCTAAATATAATCTATAATATTATAAATGATAACTTGTTAATAATATAATGCTCAATATATTATATATTATTATATTATATAAATAATAATACAATATACTAAATTATATTAAATAAAATATAATATATTTAATATAAATAATATTTTAATTTTATAATATTAAAAATATATTATATTACTATATATAATATTAAATTAATATAATATAATAAAACTACTATTATAATAAAGTTAAATATCATAGTAATTTATAAAATATAGTTAAAAATATAAAATATTAAACAATAAATAATTTGCTATTTTATTCAATGTAACATATAATATTAGTATATTTTATATTAAATTAGTATCATTTAATAAAAGTGTTAAAGTATAATAAAATCAAGTTATTATATTATATTATATTATTAAACTAAAGTATGATGTATATTGATGTAACATAATATAATATATGTTATATATAATATACAAAAAATATATTATACTGTTAAAAATAATATAATTAACATAATATAATATAATAAATAATTATATTAATTAATATAATATATCTTATACTAGTCTATATTATAATATATAATTAATATAGTATATTAGTTAATATAAAATATATTATAACATATATGTTATATTACATATATGATATTATTATAATATAATATATGTGTATGGAAATGGTCGAACTAGTATTGATCAAGTAACTCAAAATTGTGTTTTCAAAACAATTTGGAAGAAAACACAATGACATGGTGTTTCTTTAGAAAAACACCACAACAAACTCACAATGGTATCCAAACACACTCTAACTTTAAAAATTCATTGACTTTTACTGTATAGAACATGTATCTGTCATCTCACCAACAAAAACCAAATAGGTAATGTAGGAGCATGAGTGAGGTGAGGTTATGGCAGCAAATTCTCATTGATATGAAATGATTGTACAAAAATAATTTTTTTTGGTTAGAACTTTTACACTGCAACAGTTCTAATTTTTTTAATATGATTCAATGCATTTGATTCATAATTCACATCTTTATTATGTGAAAATTTTTACTTCTGTTGCGTAATAACTCCTCGTCCAGTTGAAGTGATTGCATATATTAAGTAACATGAGAAAGTTTCTGCAGTTTTTTGGCCAAAAAATTGCATTTAAGCAATCGCTTTTTGGTAACAAGCACAAGATTGATATGTTAAGTTTCTGTAGTTTTTGTCACAAAATGCATTTAAGTTATGGTTTTTCTGTAACTTGGAGGCAGCTGGATATGATGTTAAATCGCACAAAATTTTTGGTAGAGGTTTGAGTTAGAGCTTTAGGAGTCTTATGGTTAGTACCAAGTGACTCATGTGACAAGTTTCTGTAGTTTTTGCCAACAAAATGCATTTAAATGATAGTTTTTCTGTAACTGCAGTAGGATAAGAAGTTACCTCCTATGAAATTTTTGGTAGAGGTTTGAGGTTGAGTTTCATAGTTTTATGGTTAGTACCAAGTGAAGCCTATTTACTACTACCATGCTCATAAATTGGCGTTGCAAAAAGTTCCAAATGTATAACCAGAGTTTGTTTCTGCAGTAAAAGAAGAAACTTTATGTTTATATTAACGACGGGAAAGAAGCTGGACATACTTTTCTCAATTCTTCTCTTTCTTCATTTTTTGATGTGCTATTGGCCAAGCATCAGTTTTTTGGAGATTGGACAATGAACTTATCTTGCTCTCTAGGATAATGACAAAGGAAGGCGACTAGTACTAACGGTAGCATCTAAACAAGCTGTTTTATCTTGCTCTCTAGGATAATGACAAAGGAAGGCGACTAGTACTAACGGTAGCATCTAAACAAGCTGTTATTTCCTGAGCATTAATAGCAAGCCTTACCGACGTTAGGAACTCCCTTCCTTTTCATGTTTGGATGTTGATCTGCATGAAGTTATATCTTTGTCATTTGCTAAGGCCCTTTAGGGTATTCGGAGATCTCAGGCAACCTGACTTCATATCAACTACGCTGACGGAACATTCAAAAGTTCCTTGAATAAGAAGTTTGTAACATGTTTTATTTCTCTATAATGCCAACTTTTGTTCTCTGTAATGCAATTAACCATCTCATGTCTGTCTCACTGTCTAAATCCAGTTGTCTATATTTTACCAAAATTACCATCGAGATTATATAAACATGCTGTTTTTAAGAGTGTCATTATTTGCTTAAGAAACAGCGAGTGAAATAATTCACATTTGTGGATATTGGGAGTTTCTTATAATTTATTCATGTTTTTGGCTATGTTCGAGGTTTATTCCACATGCGAGAAAAGTTCACTATTTATATACTTCTGTGGGTATGAGATTCTACAGTTATTGCTTATTGCAGACGTTGCATGGGAGAAAGATCAGAATGGTTTATTATGTGTTGGCCAAATTATGTACAACTTGTGTATATTTAGTTGTATCTGTATATCAGAATTTAAGTGCTTAAGCATGATGAACATGTTATTTTTGGTATGTGCAAGGTTTATTCCACATGCTAAAAGTTCACTATTTATATACTTCTGTGGGTCTGAGGATTCTACAGTTGCTGCTTATTGCGGTTGTTGAATGGGCAAAAGATCAGAATGGTTTATTATGTATTGACTAATTTATGTACAACTTGTGCATATTTAGATGTATCTGTATGTCAGAATTTCAGTGCTTAAGCGTGATAAACATGTTTTTTTTTGTGGTAATGCGAATGCCAAATGGATGATGCACAATGCTTTAGAAAGTGGTCTTGGCGTCCGCCCAGGCCTAAGCGGTACATAGGCTGCCCGCCTAGTTCCTAGGAGTGCCCAGGGTAGCGTGGGACACTAAACGCCTGCCTAGGTCCATTCAATATCTTGGCATTGCAATTGATGGGTCATCAAAATTTAAATACCTGGTTCCTGATTTGATTTCCATAATCATATAGCATCTAGGACTTGTATTCATTTTTCATAACTTATGCTCCACTGGTTTTCTGCTCAGTTCATTTCTCAAAACCTTTCTTTGGGAGTCATTAAAGCCTGCATGCTGCAGACAACTCCCAATTTGCTAATCTTCTCATGTGTGTCCAATCATCAAAATAGATCTAATGCTGTAGTAGCTTTCCAGTTTATCGGCTTATGTCTGCTGTTGTGGTTCTACAATATGTTTGTAAATTGCAGTGTCAATCTCCTGGCTAAGGCAGAAACAAGTGTTAGGTCTAGCCACCTCAATTACTTAGTAAACCTGAAATGAATCTAATACACGCTTGCACGCTCTTGGTTTAATTTGTGATTTTCTCCCTACTGTTTCAGCAATGAACCTGGATCATTTTTGAGTCCAACACGGCCTCCGATATTGTACTAATTTTGCTAGCTATACTTGTATATATGGTCGTTTCATCTGGTGCTGATGAGCAGAATAAGCTGAAATACATTTTGATATCTTTTTTCCCCTTTGGGTAAAATTATATGTTCTTTGTCAAAGTAAATTCGTGATGATTGTATAACTGTGTCAAGCAGTTGTCTTTGCCTTACAGTTATGCAGTAAACTGTTGAATAGTACCTGAGATAACTAATTTTGTACTTGTTGATGTGTGAAGGAATGGCGACACCTATGCTGGAGAATATTTTGCAGACAAGATGCATGGTTTTGGAGTTTATCATTTTGCAAATGGGCATCGATATGAGGGAGCATGGCATGAGGGAAGAAGACAAGGCTTGGGAATGTACACATTTAGAAATGGAGAGACCCAAGCTGGTCACTGGCAAAATGGTATCCTTGATATTTTAAGCACACAAAACACTTTTCCTGTGTCTCCAATTGCTGTGAACCATTCCAAAGTACTCAATGCTGTTCAGGTAACTAGACTTTGACTTCCAACACAAGTAAAATTCCATGTGATAACATAAACAAATTGAGGGGTCTCTTGGATATTAGTCTTTAATATCTTGAAATTAGCCCCTTAAATCCTTCAATCCCCCCCCCCTCCCCTCACACATACACCCAAAAAAAAGAACACCCTCCCACCTAGGGGAATTTTTTTTCAAAAGCAATCCTTCAAATCATTGTTGCTGCTGTTAAATCTTCCAATTCTCATAAGTTGGTTTAAATTGGTCTCTCCAAACAGAGTAGAGATGGAATTGGAGGTATTAGTTTGAAACAACTCATAAGAATCAGCGGACGATAATTGCAAGTCCAATGATTTGATGGACTAAATTAAACTAAGTTAAGAATTGGGGACTTATAGCATTTCAATTATTTGAGGGACTAAGTTCAAAATAGAAAGATTTAAGTGACTAATAGCAAAAAAACCCAAAAACTTCCTTTAAAATGGGTTTAATGCATATAGACACCTATACTTTGAGGGTGTATCCACTTATAACCTTGGAACTATTTTATTAGCATTTATACCCTTCAAGCTCTAGAGAACACGATTTCTCCCTTTGGTTGAGATGTCATGTGGGAATGATTTGACGCTGAATTACCCTCAACCAGTTTAACTGAGAAAATATTAAATTGCGCTCTTTGTTGAGGGCAAAAAAGAAACACCATCTGAGTTAAATATTTCAGAGTTATGGAGTAGCACTAAACTCACCTCTGGCTCTATTGTATCATCAGGAAGCACGAAGAGCAGCAGAGAAAGCATTTAATGTGCCGAGTGTGGATGAAAGGGTGAATAAAGCAGTGGCAGCAGCAAATAAAGCAGCCAATGCAGCGAGAGTTGCTGCAGTTAAAGCTGTGCAAATGAGGACTTCTGGAGTTGGTGACGATATCCCAATTCCAATTGTGTGAGGCATTTTCTTTCACAATAATGAGACAATTAATACACTATCGATAGGATTGCAGCAATTTCTTTATTTGCTTAGGTGCTGGAAAAATAGAAGAAATTTTCCTACTCTACGACCTTTAGAGTTCTCTCTCTCCCTGAAAATTCTCTCCTCTTGTTTTGGATGTGCTATGAGAAATTCCTGCATTGAGCCATTTTTCAGTTGTCGAAGATGACTGATTCCGATGAATAATAGGCGTTTTTAAGTTTTTCGTCTGTAATATGCGAACATGACCAGTATTATTACTCGTTACCCCCTTCATCATTTGTAAATGGCTGTTGTAAAATTGCTGGCATGTAGTTGAAGTCCATGCTATTTCTCTATGTTGTATGTCAAAGGTGACTATTTGATCGATGTATAAGTAAGAGCATTTGGTATGTTGCCGTTTTACTTCATTGTGGTTCAGTTCTATTTTATCCAACAAGTTCTACTTCATTGTGGTTCAGTTCTATTTTATCCAACAAGTTCTACTTCATTGTGGTTCAGTTCTATTTTATCCAACAAAAATCAAGGAAACGGATGTTAAAACTGTTCTCTTATTAGAGTATGATGATGAGGCTCAAGGTTACAACTTTCGTTAATTGAATATAAAATTGTTTATTACACAGGATTATAATTGTCTCTAATATCTCACTTCTTAGATTTGATTATTATTAAGAGCTGTTTGAAAAAAATCCACTCCTCATGTTTTGATATGGAAATCGAATCCGAGACCTAAGGGGTTATATTAAAATCTCTAAACCATTCAGGTGACCTTAGAGCAAGTGCATCAAGCTCCCAGTTGGGAGTCTTAGTCAGCAAGCTCTCAAGAGCTCTCAAGCATTTTAGAATAAAAAAATTAAAAAATTAAGCCTTGGGAGGCACTCTTTCTTTTATGGAGCTCCAACAAGCTCCTAGTTAGGAGCTCCAACAATATCAAAAAAACCCCTCTTCTATTTTAATATTTTACCCATTACTTTCAATTATATTTAAACCTCTTGTATTTTGTATTTTATTTCTAACCGTTGGATACGGCCTTCGAGGGAGCGCACACGGTCTTCGAGGTAACCCGCGGCTTTCGAGGTAACGTACACGATCTTCGAGGTAACCTGCGGTCTTCGAGGTTGGGCACGAAGTTTGAGGTATCGCAAACTTTGACCGTCAACCGGCTGATTCCTATAAAATTCGATGGCTTCTCTCCTCAACCCATCATCTCCCAGAATAAAATGTCTAGCTCATCTAGTTCTAGCGATGATGAAATGATGAAGACATTCTTTCTTATGGGAGCTGCTATCGTTGAGGAAGAAGAACAAGAGAAATGTTCAACTTCAGTTCAACACAAACGACGTATCGTGCTCCATCGAAACCGACTGGAAGGCCACAATCGGTTGTTCCAAGATTACTTTGCTGACGCACCAACCTATCCTCTTTATTATTTTCGTCAAAGATTCAGAATGTCGCGTTCGTTATTCCTTCGAATCCACGACGCAGTTGTCGAACATGACAAGTACTTCGTCCAAAAGAGGAATGGTGCTGGACAGTTAGGACTATCTAGTCTGCAAAAGATTACTGCAGCTATGTGGATGCTCGCATATGGAGCATCCGCTGACTCCGTTGATGACTACGTTCGGATCGGTAAAAGTACGTCGCTTGAGAGCGTGAAGAGGTTTGTTCGATCGATTATCAACATCTTTGGAGAGGAATACCTTCGTTCACCGACTAATGAAGACGTTGCACGCCTGCTCGAGGAAGGTTCACAACGAGGTTTTCCTGGTATGCTTGGGAGCATCGACTGCATGCACTGGACATGGAAGAACTGTCCAACTGCCTGGCAAGGTATGTATACTGGACATTTTCATGAACCTACAATTATTTTGGAGGCCGTAGCTAGCAAAGATCTTTGGATATGACATGCTTTCTTTGGACTGCCAGGGTCTCACAATGACCTTAATGTTCTACATCGTTCACTGGTTTTCGCACAACTTGCGGAGGGAAGAGCTTCACCGTGCAACTATACTGTCAATGGCCACGAGTATAATATGGGATACTATCTCGCCGATGGGATTTACCCAGAGTGGTCCACATTAGTGAAGACTATTCCAGCACCTCGAGGAAACAAGCATAAGTACTTTGCTCAACAACAAGAAAGCGCAAGAAAAGATGTCGAGCGAGCTTTTGGCGTGTTGCAAGCTCGATTTGCGATTGTTCGTGGACCATGACGTTTTTGGCAACCTTGTGTGCTAAAAGATATCATGACAGCTTGTATCATAATGCATAACATGATCGTTGAAGATGAACGTGATTGTCAATTGGACAACAACTTCGACTTTACTGATTCGGTACCAGTCGTTGAACCTTCTCATGTGCAGACGGTGCCTCTAACTGAGTTCATCCAAAATCATCATCGGATTAGGAACATGCAAACACACAAATCACTAAAAAATGATTTGATCGAGCATCTGTGGCAGCTCAAGGGATCCATCGCCGAGGATTAAGTTTCTTTATGTCTAATGTAATTTCAGAAAATGTGTTCAAGTTGTTGTACTACGCTAATTTCATTTTCAATAAAGTAGTTCATTTTCATTCAATTGAGAAATGTTTAACTTCAAATACAATCATAAAATTAATCACAAAATAATATTTGATAAATAGAAAGAACTAGTGAGGATACGATGCGAGTACAATATATGGTAGTTAGGAAGAACCCTTAGACATCCACCTCTCCAATATCTCTGCCTGACGCATTTCAAAGTTGTTGGCCTTCTTGTTTTGATGATGTTTAACAATTAATTTATTATTAATGTTGTTTGTCTAGTATTTATGTTTTCTTATTTATTATAGACAAACAACGTAGTTAGAGGATGGATGGAATAGCGCTTCAACGACGATATCAAATGGAGGTTGGCGGAATTGTGGAGAGAAGCCTACGATGTTCGTGCATGTTTTACAAAACAGATGAGTTTTTATAAATGGGAAGTGATATTCAAGAAATTCTTTCCTTGAAATGTTTATCTATATGTTTATAAACTTTTCTCAAAATTTTACTATTTTTGGTGTTGATTTACTGTGCCCAATTGATTTTACAAAATCGTGTATGTCAGCAGATTTTCAGAAACTGTATATCTGTGTTAAAATATTTATTTCTCTCAACTGGAAAATGATTTTTCAGAAATTATTTCTCTAACATGTCATTATACATGTCTAGAACCTTCCCAAAAAATTTCATAATTTTTGGAGCTGATTTACTATTTTTAATTTATTTTACAAAGCTAGATACGTAAATTTCCAGAATGCTGGATTTTGGGGTATTTTGGTCTTTTCAGCCTATAACGGCTAGTAACGGCTAGTTTTTGATATTTTCGGTTTTTGGGGGTTTGTGGCTGGTTTAAGAGGCTATAAAAAGCCCTCAACTTTTATTGTTTCTTATGGATGTTTAAGAGAGTTTTAAAAAGAGTTTTACAAGTTTGTTGAAGGGTTTTTAAGTTTGTTTCAAGAGTTTGTTTGTGAAGAAAATTCCACAAGAGCTTGAGGAGATCATCTATTAGAGTTTGAGCAATCAACTATTCTCCCTCCATCTCTTGTCATCTATTGAGAAGTTTTCTAAACTCTTTTCTAGCTTTATATTTATTTGTTTGATTATCATCTTATTAAAGCTAGTTTTATATTGAGTTTAGATTTGATTAATCTCATTGTTACACACACACACTTGAGCTTATTGTATTCGCATTCAT